CACAGTCTTAGATTGCTGGGCTGGGCTGTCACAGACAGAGTGTTTCAGTTCTCTCTTGTGCCATGGAAATAACATAGAGAAAAAGCTTTTCTTCCCACCACCTTTTTTTTTTTTTTTAAACATTCATGGTAGGAAATCATCTTCTTGAGAAAGCAGATCACCGAATTCAAGGCCAGGTACAATGTTGAACAGGGAGTTGCTGGCCTCCTAGCTGGTGAGCCTCTGGCATCAAAGCCAGGGCTACTGTCTTCTAGAATACCAAGGGCACAGCTTCCAGAGCCTCCTTGGGTTACTGCATCTGGAAATTTTAACTTTTCCTAATTACTAGTCACAGTTTCTCCTCCTTTGAGCCCAGGGTCCTTCAATGGGCCTTAGGAAGGTTTGGAAGATAACATATTTGCATCCCCCTCATACTGCTGAATGTGAGTATTAGGGAGTTGGCTGCAAATATTCCTGGCAAGGCCTGAGAAGAACTGAGAAATGGACAATTTGCAGTTGAGCAGCCCATCCCTGACTGGGCAGCTTTCCTTGGTCAGTGTGGTGTTGCTTCCCAACTGTCCATGGCTTGAAATCTATCGTGGAGCACTGGGCCAGCCTTTGTATTCCCACCTCATCACCCAGTTCTACAGCCTTCACCTTCCAGAGAAAGCGATCTCTCTTGGCTCTTCAGCTTAGTAGCCTCCCTTGCAGAGGAGCCTTGGAGAAAGGCCAGGGGCTTCTCCTATATCCTCAAGATCCTCCCAGGTACCACCCCAGTACTTAACAGCGGCCCTTGACCCTGTGTGTTTTTGTCTAATCTAGTCACTAATAGCTTGAATCTTGGGCCTGGAAACAAGTCACAAAAGAGTCACAGAAGGCTAAAGGGGATATTCTTTGGGGAAAGTAGCACCAATTCAATCATACATGGGGTGTGACACAGAGGCTGTGCCCCAGCAATGTGTGTGAACAAGAGGGTTAAGGCTTTTATACTCACTTCAAAGAGTTTTCCAATGTGTTCTCTTGGCTTATCTTTCCATATCTTCCTGGCATAGACTAAACCTATTATATCAAACATCCCCACTAAGAAAAGTATTTGTAAAGTGAAAAAAATTTTAATTCCCCAGACACATTTTTAAAATTTTTTTAAGTTGACAAATTCTGCATCTTTAATGAGAATTCCTGGTGTTCTTAGATCTAACATACTGTTTTTTTTTTTTTTAATTGAGGTAAAAGTCACACAACATAAAATTAGCCATTTATAAGCATATAATTCAGTGGTATGCAGTATGTTCACAACATTATACAACCCTTGGGCAGGTTTTAAATTACTTGTATCACAAAGAAAACATGGCCATTCCTAGGAATAATGAAATTAAATGATAGTTTATATAATATGATGAATCATATAATTTTGATTAATCATATAATTTATTCCAATAGAAGATATGTGAGAGGTCAACTGGTCTCATTAACCCCACTCTACCAAGACTGTCCCAAAGGCATCCTGACCTTACAAAGCCTCCACCCACACCCTCGCCTTCCCTCTTGATCCTCTCTTCCTGGTGCCAGTCCTTCCCTGGAGTCTGAGTCTCATCTCCAGTCTCCTCTCCTTCAGCCCTCCCAGCCAACCCACTTCTACACCTAAGTATGTGACCTCACAAAGTGCTCCCCAGACATGGGCCATTGCTTTGGGTCCGGCCGTCCTCACCTTCCTTTGCTCCCTTGTAGTCTCTTTCCATAAATTCCCAGCTGGGCTGTCTTCCACACTTACAATCCCAAAAAAGGATCAAAATCATGGGGTAAAGTGTGCAGTTACTGGCTATGGTATTCATTTGGGAATCTTCACCATGTGCTCCTCCCATCTCTTCCAACTAGTGTCACACAGATCTTTCTAGGTATTTCCAAAAGCTAGTTAAGTTGTACAGGAGTTGGGCACAGGCCCTGGAAAAGCTGGGAAGCCAAATAGGATACTTGGAGGGAGGCATCCATACTCCTCCAGGGCTGAAGGCACCAGGGAGGGGACCCAGGAGCTGGGGATCATGCCGGGTCAGCCTGGTGGGAATTAGTCCATGAAGAGGGGTCTTTGGGCAGTGGAGTCTTAGAGCCATGGGAGAGACCCAGTCATGTTGAGATGCTGCCCAGCACTGGGAGACTGGGAAGAAATCCTCTGGCTTCTCCTCTCCTCCTTCTTCCATCTCCTGCCACTGCCTTTCATTGACTGAAACCAGCCAGAAGCCAGGGAGCCTGGAAAGCAGAGTTTGTGGAGGTAAGCCTCACCCCACCTCATGGTGCAGACCCTTGCAGAACAAAAGTAGTGAGTAAGCAAGCCAGCAAGTGACCACAGTGTTCCTTTACTTCCACTATAGTGACAGTTAATTACTAACCATTCTAAGAGCTTTTATGATACCCTCTGGGAAATTCTTTTATGACTTTCATCTAGAAAACACCTCCTTCTTGGGGACTAGCTGAAATGCTTTCTTCTCAGTGAAATCAGCATGGACACCTCAAAAAATGTTAGCTACCCCTCATCTGGGCTTCAACAGTTCTTTGTGTAAATCTCTTGGTGGCACTTGCCACCAGGATATTACAATTTATCATTTCTATGTCTGATTTCTTCTGCCCTTGGAGGGCCGCAGGTGTGGTCACAATGTCACAGGCTTTTGCATTCTTAAGATCTAGTGCAGGATGCAGTCAGTACAGCTGCATCGGTGCCAGGAACATACGGACTAGCAGGCTGTGGAGGGTTCTTGCCCAAGATTCCACAGCTGGTGAGTGGCTGAGCATGTGGTGGGATTGTCTGTCCACAATCTCTTACCCAGGAGACTTGGTCATGTGTCCTTTTTACTCTGGGATATGCTTTGCTGTAATCAGAACTACCCAAGAATCAGCACTTGAAAACCCTGGAGACACAATTCCTGGGCTTATATCCTAGGAACTGTAATGTAGTGTTTAAAAATTTTCCAGACCTCCATGAATCCAGAGAGGGTGTCAGGGATCTCTACAGGTGGTGTGGACAGACAGACAAGGATTGACCTTTCTTCATTAAACCTTGAGACTAAATTAACATGTGGCCTTTTTGTTGTAGCCAAAGGCTCAATGCGTGCTGCTTCTGTATGTGAAACTATTATATGTTCCTCAGAAACAAATAAATCAGAAGGAATGTATTAGTAAAGAATTTAAGTTGCGACATGCACATCTGTTCTTGGAATTCTCAAAAAAAAAATATTCTCCTGGAAAAGATGCATCCATTTGTTAAAAATCAAAAACAACAACAGAAATGGTGTTTAAAAGAAACTCTGTGGTTCTTAGGGAGCAGAGAGGTGAGATTTTTCTCTTTCTTGACCTGAGCTAATAACTCCTCAGCAGGAGGAGCACACTGTACACTCCGTCACCCACAGGAATCAGGTACTGTTGACTACAGAAAGACGATGTGCAAGTTCTATTATTAGTGGCTTTGATGATTTCTTCCTTTTTTGTAAGAACTGAGCTTCTTTGCTGTTCCTGTTACATAAGCTATTATACACAGAGGGGAAAGGCTTTAATAAAGTGGGGTGCTGACTCATTCCTACGAAACAGCTGCCTGGGAATAACAGAGGACCAGCTGGAGTGCCTCATTAACTAGAGAACCATATATGTTAGGCAAAGAGCAGCCTTTTTAGTTCTGTTTTTAGGCTCTCATGTGGGCGGAGACCTGAGGAAACTTCAGAGGAAGGAGCAGGACCCCACCCTGCGAGATACCACAGCTCCCTTTGCCATACAACAACATCAGAAGTCCCTACCTTACAGTTAAATGTAAGTGTTGGGTTTTTTATGTGTGTAATGAGATAAAAACTCAATTTCATATAAACAGATATTGAACAAGACAGATAAGGGCAGTGAACAAGCTCAGTGGATGGCTTGGGCTTGCTGAATAGGACTGGGAGATGTACATATGGGTGGGGAGAAGAAGGGCCAGGCATTAGTCCTCGGGCCTCTACCAGCTGTTGAGCAGCACCAAGGAGACTGTCTGTGAGGGTCAGCTAGGGCTGGACCAGCAATTGTGAAAGTGGCAAGATAAGAACCTACACAATAGCCTACTAGAGCAGTGGGTCCCAAAGTGTGCTTCAGGGTCCCTAAAGTGCCAGAGCATCTCCCAAGAGAAAAGCATGCCCAAGATCTTGCTAACCTCGGGCAAGTTCAGGAAAAAAAACAGTTGTGTGCACCTCTTTCCAGCTGGTGCCCATGGACCTCCTGCATTGGTGGCTTGAAACCAGCCATGGAGGGAGTATTTATAGCCACAGAAGTTGGCAAATGCTACAGACTGGAGCTTTTCCTCCAGGAGAGCATATTGTTAAACATTTACAAGCACATCCCTGATTGGGTTGCCTGACACCCGTTCAGAGGGTCTGTACTGTCAGAACTATTTTCATAATACTAAAACATCCTTCACCACTTTCGCTCTTCTTTCCCAAATGCTCAGAGTTGCTTTCCAGACGCTGTGACACGTGATGCTGCAGATCAAATGTAGGAGCAGATGCCAGAATTCAGCTGTCTTCTTGTAAGCCAGATAGTAAAGAGATGTGCAAAAACAGTGCCACTCTTTTTACTGATTTTTTTGTGTGTATGTGTGGGAAAATGTTTTTTTTTTCCTCAAAGATATTATTTATATTAAACATATGATTGGCTTCTTATGTTAAAGTGAATCAATAAAGAAATAGTGTTAAGTTTATCACTTCTAATCTCAAATACAGTAAATATTGATAGATAAAATTCACATAAACAAAATACCTTAGGAGTCTTCATTTTTTTTTTTTTTTAGGAGTCTTCGTTTTAAAAAATAGATTTATTTTAGAGCAACGTTCGCTTCACAGCAAAACTGAGAGGAAGTTTAGCATATCGATTTTTTTTCTTTCCTGGATTGTGCCTTTGGTGTTATATCAAAAAGTCATTGCCAAACCCAAGAACTAGATTTTTTCTCCTACACTGTCTTCTAGGAATTTTATAGTTTTTCATTTTATATTTGTATCTGTGATCCATTATAATTTAAATTTTGGGATGTGTGTAAGATCTGTGTCTAGGCTCATTTTTTTTTTTCAATGTGATGTCCCGTTGTTGCGGCACCATTTGGCTTTGCATCATTGAACAGTACTACCTTGTCAAAGGTCAGTTAGCTGTATTGATGTGAGCCTATTTCTGGGCTCTCTCTCCTTCCATGGGTCTGTTTATCTGTTATTCCCACACTAACACTGTTGTTGATTACTGTAGTAAGCGTTGAAGTTTAGTGGTGTCAGTCCTCCAACGTTGTTCTTCTCCTTCAGTATTTTGTTGGCTATCCTGGGTCTTTGTGTCCTGAATTTTTAAGGGTATCGTCTAGTTTATTTGTATTGTTAGAGTAAAATTTACCAGGTTACTAAAGAGCAGCAATTTATCTCACAGTTCTGGAGGCTGGGAAGTCCAAGGCACTGGCAGGTTCAGTGTTTGGTGAGGGCTATTCTGTTTCTAAGGTGGCACATTTTGCTATATCCTTACATGACAGGAGAATAGAAGGGCAAAATGTCTTGCTAATTCCCTCCGGCCCCTTTATAAGGTTGCTAATCCCATTCATGAGGGTGCTACCCTCATGATGTAATCACTTCCTAAAAGCCCCACCTCTTAGTACTATCACATTGGATCTTAAGTTCCAACATAGGAATTTGGGGGGCACATTTATAGTCAAACCATACTACATGTGAAAGGGGAGGAGTCCTGAGACCACAAAGTTTGAGAACTGCTGTTGTAGAGAAAGATGGACATATAGATGAGTGCAGCAGATTCTTGTGCTGGGAAAGAAGACAGAATGTAGTGGAGGGAAACTGAACTGAGTTTTGTACATCTCCCTGCTTGTTCTAGAGACTGAATGAGTCTGTTAACTTTAGGGTGCATCTCCAAGATTCCATATGTAGATGCTGTGTGACACAGGCATGATCCTTAGAAGAGAATCCCAGAGGGTCGTAGAACATGACCTCAGAGTGTAGGATGTGAAATGTCATCCTTCCTTGAGACTAGAGACCACAGGGCAGGTTAAGGCAGTGGGAGATTGGTTCTTGCAGTTTTCTGAGAGAAAGGTGGCTTTTTGGTTATTAGGGTTGTGCATGAAAATCATGCAAAGAGGCATACCTCTTCATCTTCAGAATTAAAACTTTGTTAAGTACCAAGAACAAACCATGTTAAAAGGGGAATAATAACACTCACCTCTCACCTGTCAAGATTTACAGGAAACACATGCTAAAGGGAAGAGGTGGGGGTAGGTTCTGGTCTCAAACCTCAGGATTAAAAAAAAAAAGTCCCCTGGTCTGCCAGACTCCTCCAAGGACAAAGCTTATTTGCCTAAAGAGGCCAGTTGTTTACTCTGCTCCTTTCTCCCCAGCCACACTCCAGATTTCCACCACTGTGGCAGGGAGAGAAGCCAGACAGGTTACATAGGAAAGAAAGGCAAGCAGATGACCCAAGCAGAGCTGGGTGGCAAACGGGGCTGTGTGTCTCTCCCCTGGCTTGTTGGAGCTTGCAACTGCTCCCAGGCCCAGCAGAGTCATAAGGATCTCCAGAGCAGCCAAACCAAGCAAGTCTGCAGGCCAGGCCTTCCCAACCCTGGCCATGTGGAGGGGTAGCATCCCCAGTAACCACTCCAAAAAGCCTCCTATCTTTTAACCTTTTGCCAGATTCTGAAAGCACATTTCTACACGGTGCCCCAAAGTAACCTCTGCTGGCAAGGCTGGATTATTCTCAATCTGGGAACAACCAGTATATTCCGAAGGTCCTAAAATGTTCAGAAATCTGCTCTCTGTGTGTGTGTGTGTGTGTGTGTGTGTGTGTGTTATTTTGGCAGAGGGAAGATCTAGAGTTTTCATGACATTTTCAAAGAGGGGGGCATCTTGCACACACACACAAAAATGTTAAAAATGGCTACATTAGAGACCAGCACTAATGAAGTTGCACTATTGAGGGTTTTTCAACGTTTTGTAGAATTAAAAATATTATTTAAATGAATAGCTGACTTGTTCTCCACTCCAGGCATAATGCTAGATGTGGGAATACAGTGAGGAACAAGACCAGATGCGAACTGTGTGTCACTGAGGGACACAAACATAAATCAAAAAATTGCACCAATGCATGTCTAATGTCAAACTAAGTGTTGCACTGGAGGAACGGAACCTGGTTCTATGAATGATGTGATTTAGTGGATGTTTAGCTTTTGTTTTCTGTATTTATTTATTTTTTAATTGATAATGCATTCATTTTTAAAAACTGAAAAGGATGATGTAGTGAAAAATCTTGTTCCTCATCCACTCATATTCCCAACCCTCTCTGAAGGCCACATACATGTTTTACAAACTGGTCATAGACCAGGAGAAGAGAAAGCTTAACCTGAATATATGACTCTTGAAAGACACAACTGGAGTATAAGTTCATCAAGAAAAGAAGACTGGAAAGAGACAAAGATGTTCCAGACACAGGCAACAGTCTTGCAAAGGCCCTGTGGTAGGTGTATTAAAAGAACCAAAAGAATGCATACATGGCAGGAGTGCTGAAAGCAAGGGTGAGAGAGACCAGGATATCGCTGAGTGGGAAGGATACAGCCTTGTAGCCTGTTCAGCACTGTAGACTTTCCCTCAGAGATTGGGGAAGCCCCTGAGAGACAAAGGGTGAAAACTTTAAATCATACTTGAATTTTGAAAATAATTACTCTGGCTAGGTAGCATGGAAAATGAATTGGAAGAGGAAGCAGTTAATGGTTTCCTTTTTCATTCAGGTGAGAAATGATGCAACTTGGCACTGGTCTTGGTTGGGTTGCTATCTCTAACAAGGTACCATAGACTGGGGAGCTTATCAACAACAGAAATTTCACTCTCATAGTTCTGGATATTCTAAGTCTGAGATGAAGGTACCAGTATGGTTGAGTTCTGATGAGGACCCTCTCTTGCAGTTTGCAGATTTATTGTTTGCAGCAAGAGGGTGAAGGAGCTTTTCATTTATTTATTTTTCCACATATTTTACTGATGTATTATAGTTGCACATAATGATGGGATTTGTCGTTATATACTCATACTTGCACACAATGTAACTTCCCTCCTCCCTGCCTGTCTCCCACCCTTTGGTCCCTTTCTTCTATTGATCTCCCTTTGATCCACCCCATCTTTCTTTTCCTTTTCCTCTCTAGCTTCCGTATATGAGAGAAAACACGACCCTTGACCTTCTGAGTTGGACTTATTTCGCTTAACATGACGTTCTCTAGTTCCATGCATTTTCTTGCAAGTGACATAACTTCATTTTTCTTTATGGCTAAATAAAACTCCAATTGTGTATATATACCACATGTGCTTCATTCCTTGATGGATAACTAGACTGGTTCCATGGTTAGGTCATGGTGAATTGTGCTGCTGTAAACGTGGGTGTGCATGCATCACTGTAGTATGAAGACTTTAATTCTTTAGGATAAATACTGAGGAGTGATATAGCAGGTCATATGTTGGCTCCATCCCTTGTCTTTCGTGGATCCTCCATACTGATTTCCATAGTGTTTGTACTAATTTATAATCCCAACAGTATAAAAATTTCTTTTTTCTCTACACCCTCTCCAGCATTTATTATTATTTGTCTTCTTGATGACTGCCATTCTGACTGGTGTGAGATGAAATCTCAGTTTAGTTTTGATTTACATTTGCCTAATTGCTAAAGAGGTTGAACGTGTTTTTATATATTTGTTGGCCATTTATATTTCTTCTTTTGAAAAGTGTCTGTTTAATTCATTTGTCTGGCCTCTTTTATAAGGTCACTAATTTTATTCATGCGTGCTCTACCCTCTTGACCTATTTACCTTCCTCAGGCTACACTTTCTAATTGCATCACCTCATGGGTGAGGATTTCAACATGAATTTCGGGGGCCAGGGGGAGACAAAAATTCAGTCTGTTAAGATAGAGGAGTGGGAAGAAAGTGCGTGTGAGGGAGTGAGGGGAGATCAAGATTGATGGTAAGAAATGTATTTGTGTATAAGACATTTGCTTCTGAAATTTTTTTTTTTAACAAAACATCTGTTTCAATTCTCTCGATTTTGGAAGAAAAACCCATAATAGTTTGCTTATAATGTACTTAACCCCTGGCAATATTTTATCCAAACATGTGGCCAAACTGACATGACAATGTAGCATCCTATAAAAGGTTAATGAACAAAGAGCTAAAGTCTCAGAGAATCTTGCTAGAGGTCATCTGGACCAGTTTCCTGGCCCGGTACCCCAAGGTCATCTCACCTTTGCAGGAGCCTCCCCATTGGCAGGAAGTTATTATTGTTGTTAACAGATCATAACAGAATGAGCGTGCGGGTGATGTTCACTAATTTTGAAACAAGTAATTGAACACTTGGTGGCTGTACTTGTTTGGGTGTTTTCACACTTAATTTTCCTTCTCTTCCCCCGACTCCCCAGAATGGCTTTTTCAGAAGAACAAGGAGGAGCCCCCTGTGGTTTCATCCGCCAGAATTCCAGCAACTCCATCTCCTTGGACTTTGAGCCCCACACAGAATACCAGTTTGTGGAGCAGTTGGAAGAGCGCTACAAATGTGCCTTCTGCCACTCGGTACTTCACAACCCCCACCAGACGGGTTGTGGGCACCGCTTCTGCCAGCACTGCATCCTGTCCCTGAGGTGAGTGGGCAGGGCCTGCAGCTCCAGCCACAGCAGGCCAGACCCAGGCGGGCGTGTTCCCGGCATCTAAGAGTCAGCGGTGCCACTCAACTGTAATCATGGTTTTGGGAATTCCTGTTGCTGGCCACAGAACCACAATAGATAGCAGGAGCTTTCTCAGGGGTCCTCTGTGAGGGCCTAAAGAGTAACCTTCACTTTTTGCTACTTATGATATATACCTTTTCTCAAAACCCAGACTCTGCCCATTTTGCATGGCAGAATAGACCCAGTTGCACAGTCTGTCATGAGTTGGCTATCAAGAATGGATTGTATCTTACAGCATCTGTGTTGTAACTTCCCTGACTGTTCTTTCCTTGAGGTAAAGGTGCTGTCACATCCATAAAGGACTTGTTGCCATGGCTGCTGCCCACTCCAGGGCAGCTATAAACCCTGTGTTAGTCAGATTTCCATCACTATAACAAAACACCTGAGACAATTACTTTATAATGAGAAAAGGCTTATTTTAGCTCTCAGTTTTGGCGATTCCAGTCCCAAACGATCAATTGGCCCCGATATTATGGGCCTGTGGCAAGGTAGCACATCGAGGCAAGGGCATGTGGTGGAGAAAAAACACTTACCTTATCAGACAGGAAACAAAAGAAAAAGAGAGAAGGGGGCTTGGGTCTCACTATCCCACTCCAAGGGCATGCCCCCAATGACCTAAGGACCTACCACTAGGCCCCAGCTCCCAAAGGTTCTACCATCTCCCAATAGAACCAGCCTGGGGACCAATCCTTTAACACATGGGCCTTTGGGAGACATTCAACATCTCAACTGTAGCAGCCTGGGTCATGCCATTTTGAAGGTCAGCAGAGGTGAAGAAGCATTCTAAGGGGGCTTCTATAGGGTCATTAAGGCAGTTGTTTTATCCTGCTGACTTTGAAAGGGGTTATCAAGCACATTCTTATTTACTCACATGTTCATACATTCATCACTTGCTCTCCTAAGCTCTAGTGTAGGGAGGTGAACAGCTAGAGTATAGTGTGGAAAAGGACCTGATATATGTCTTCTAGAATGTCTCAATCAAGTGAAGGAGATAGATTATGGCAAAGGACAGGGGCATTTAACACTGTCTGGGGGACTCCATTCTTGACTACATACTGAAGGATGAATGGGAGTTTTTCAGGTAGACTGAAAGAAGGAGGGGCCCAGGGGTGCCTTCTGGGTAGAGAATAGCATGTGCAAAGTCAAGGTCCAGCCACCCAGGGATGGAGTGTAGCTCAAGTACTGGGCTGCTCTTAAAAAAGCAATTGAGGTTAAATGCCTAATTCTGGCTCTATTTTTATTTTTCTCTCCAGAGAATTAAATGCAGTGCCAATCTGCCCTGTAGATAAGGAGGTTATCAAATCTCAGGAGGTAAGAAAATCACTACTTTGCCTTAGCATCTGTCTGGGTGATAGTGAAGAAGAAGCTGGCATCCTGTGTTTAATTGGACCTTAAGGAGAGTGGTCAAGGGGGACCTTCCTTGGAGTCTCTATTTCTCTGTTTTCGGGTCAAGTCAGACCCTCCTACCCCTGTTTGAGAGAAGCTTGCCTGGGTCTTTGCTGACCACACCTCCACCCCAGGTCTCCTCTCCTGCTTCTTCCTCACCCCCTTCCTACACTAGCGTTAGCCACCCCAAGCTGCTGGGAGAAGTGGAGCATCCTGCCTGGATTTCATCTTCTCGTCTGGTTGATCCCTAAAACTTCCTTTTATTATATGTTTGTTAACAGCTTTATTGAGATATAATTCACATACCATGAAATTTACCTATTGAAGTGTAGAGTTCATAGTTTATAGTATGTTTACAGGTTGTTAAGCTACCATACTATCCAATTCTAGAATATTGTCATTACCCCAAGAAGCAACCCCATGTCCAGTGCTGTAGTTACTCCCCACCCACCCTCATCCTCAGCCCTTGTAAACTACTAATCTAGTTTCTGCTTCTATGGATTTTCTATTCTGGATATTTTTATATAAGTAGAATCACATAATATGTGACTTCTTGTATCTGGGTTATTTTACAACATAATGTTTTCAAGGTTCATCCATGTTGTAGAACATATCAGTACCAAATTCCTTTTTATTGCTGAATATCATTTCTTTGTATAGGTATACCACTTTTGTTTGTCCATTCATTAGCTAATGGATACTTGGGTTGTTTCCCTTTTGTACTATAATGAGTAATACTGCTATAAACATTCATATACAAGTGTTTATGTATTCCTATGTATTTCTCTTAACTATCTAAGAATGGAATTACTGGGTCATACTCTATGTTTAACATTATGAGAACTGCCAGAGTGTTTTCCAAAGCAACTGAACCATTTCTTTCTTTTTTTCTTTTTTCTTTTTTTTTTTTTGATTCGCTCTTTTTCCTTTTCTTTATTGGTTCTTTTTAGTTATATATTACAGTAGAATCCATTTTGATGTAATTATGCAACATGGAATATATATTATATGTGTGTGTGAGTGTGTATGTGTAGTGTGTGATATATGTGTGTGTGTGTGTGTGTGTGTGTGTATGTATATGTATAGGCTCTTGCATCTAGTTTTTTATTTCTCCAGACCTCATAAAAATTTGCTATTCTGTCCTTTTTGAGTATAGCCTTCCCTTGTATGTGAAGTGAATTCATTTGTGGTTTTGATTGCTTTTCCCCCTTGGCTAATAACATCGAGTATCTTTTCATATACTTATTGGCAAAAACGCCTATTCAATTCCTTTGCCTCTCTCTCTCTTTTTTTTTAAGTGCTGGGGATTGAACCCAGGGCCCTGTGCATGCAAAGCAAGCACTCTACCAACTGAGCTATATCCTCAGTTCCTCCTTTGCCTTCTTTTTAATTGGGTGATTTGTAATTGTTGAGTTATAAAAGTTCTTTGTGTATTCTGGATACAAATTTCTTATCAGATATATGATTTGCAAATATTTTTCTCTCATTCTGTAGGTTGTTTTGATTTTCTTGATGGTGTACTTTGAAGCACAAAAATTAATTATTTTGATTTTAAGTCCAATTTCTTTGGTTGCTTGTTCTTTTGGTATTGTATCTAAGAAACTCTTGTATAATTTATGATCATGAAGCTCTTCTCTCTTAAGCTTTCCCTTAATTAGATTCAGTTTTCTTCCTCTAATATTGTGTTGCAGGATGTCCAAGCTTTACCTTCTCTGGGGCCTTTCCAAGCACCTGGTCTGATGTCCTTGCTTCTTCTCTAAACTCTTTATGATGAGTTTTGCAAATGCTTCTCAGAGGACTGTGCTGTACCTAGTGTCTGACCCACAAGACTGGGGCAGGGGTGTGGGGGTTGGCATACTACACCTTGGAGCAAATTTAGTCCACCACCTGTTTTCATATGACCTGTTAGCTAGGAAAATGGTTTTTGGTTTTATGTTTTTTTAAAAAAGGGGTTGAATTTCAAAATAAAATTTTACTTTAAAAATCAGAAAATGAGTAATTTTTGTGACACATGAAAAGTATATGAAATTCAAATTTCAGTGTCTGGAAATGTTTTATTGAAACACAGTCATGCCTGTTCCTGTAAGTATTGCGTGTGGCAAAGTTGAAATAAGGCAATAGAGATGGTTGTTATGTGGCTTACAAAGCTGAAAATATTTGCTGTCTGACAGGGAAAGTTTGCCAACTCCTGGTTAGTGCTGAATAGCAAGTCAGCACAGCTTCAGGGACATTCTCTGATTTACCCTGGGACAGGAAACTGAAAGCATCACCCTTGGCCACAGCTCCACCTCCTAACCTTTACTGTGTAGGGTCAAATTCACCATGCGATTCTCCCAGCAGTAGCAGCCTTTTGCACTGAGTCTTGAGTTACCTCGCTTGTGGGATGTATGTATCTGAGATGGCCTTTTCTTTTAGTGTGGTGGTGAGTGTGATATTTCCATTCCAACTACTGGAAGTTTCCACCTGACTTCAGAGATATACTTGAAGATCAAACTTACAGTAGCTTCATTTGCATTGCTGTTCAGCATTGGAATAAGACCTATCATCTTTATCTTTTAGGTGTTTAAAGACAATTGCTGCAAAAGAGAAGTTCTCAATTTATACGTATATTGCAAAAATGCTCCTGGATGCAATGCCAAGGTTATTCTGGGACGATACCAGGTTGGTATTAGGACCAATGTTTGCCTTTGCCTTCTTTTAAGTGACATTTGTTAAACCTGTCGATGCCACAGTGCCTGGGTCAGCATGAGAGAGGAATTCATTGGCTTAGCCCCAGCGGATTCCCAGCTAGTCATACAGTGAGTGGCAGTGCTATAGCTGCCAAGGACCAAGGTGTAGGAAGGACACAGGGGGTACATGCTTTACTTGGTAGAACCTGAATGGTGGGTTAGGGATCCCTGAGCCAAAACAGAGGGTGTTGGACATGCCAGGCAAAACGAATGCACAAGCAAGACTGTGTCATTTGGGGGTAACTGAAGGAGTTGGAGTCCCTGAGATAAGAGCCAGGCATGACTGCAGAAAAACATGATAGTGAGGGTCCTTCCCTGAAAGCATCTGCTGTGTGTTGTTGTGGTGTGTGGGCTCTGATCTGCAGAGTTATGACCTAAGGCAGATCACACAGACCAGAAAGAAGTAGTATGTAGTTTAAAGGTGAGCTATTGATATGAGATGCCAACAAACAGGTATACAGGGGAAGTGTAGGTGAAAAGATTTGAATTTCTTTCATTCTGCGGGAGAAGGCTATTAGTGGGAAGCTGGAAATGTGGCCCTGCCAAGCCCATATCAGGTTTGATCACACTGAATGAGGGAAGACTCGGGCATCACCAGCTTCCAGGGAATTGCCTGGAGGCTGCTGAAATTTTCCCCTTACACCCACACAGTTTGGAACCCTTATTTCAGATGATTCAGCCTTTTCTTTATCAAGCCTCCAAATCCCCCAGGCACTGAGGTAATAAATGTATAAATGATTTCCTTCTTAACCCAGGGAGTGCTTTGGAGGCTCACAGAATATTTTTACTTTCCTGTGACGGTTCTTGGCTACTTGCTGTAAATGGCGGGGCCTAGAAGGAGGCCTCAGATCCAACTTTCTTGTCACTAAGCCTGTATAGAAAATTAGGCTCAAATATGTATCAGACAGCCACAGTGACCAGACCACAGGCTGCTAGAGAACAGGGGCTAGTTTCTTTCAACCTGTTTGTTTTGTTTTGTTTTTAATTTCCTGCTAGGTGTGATGGCGGGGCACACCTGTAATCCCAGTGACTCAGGAGGCTGAGACAGAAGGATCACAAGTTCAAAGCCAGCCTCAGCAACTTAGTGAGGCACTACGCAACTCAGCGAGACCCTGTCTCTAAATAAAATATAAAAAAGGGCTGGAGATGTGTCTCAGTGGTTAAGTGCCTCTGGGTTCAGTCCCTGGTACCAACCAAAAAAAAAGAGAGAGAGAGAGAGAGAGCAAGTGAGAGACGTCACCCCTAAACTACCTCCATCTGGAAAATCCCTCCCCTATCAGATTACTTTTTCCTTTTCCCGCAATTTCCTTTTATTTCTTGTCCGCTTCCCCCTTGTGTGGCAAGGTATAGGATCTTACAGGTAGCAGAATTTTGATGACTATTGACTGGGTGTGTTGTCTCAATGAAATTTGGAAATTTCAATGTTGATTATAAGAGCCATTTGTTGGGCTGGGGATGTGGCTCAAGCGGTAGCGCACTCTCCTGGCATGCGTGCGGCCCGGGTTCGATCCTCAGCACCACATACAAAGATGTTGCGTCCGCCGAAAACTAAAAAATAAATATTAAAAAAATTCTCTCTCTCTCTCTCTCTCTCTCTCTCAAAAAAAGAACCATTTGTTTCTTATTATCAGAAGCAAAGAAAAATAGCTATCATCTTTATCCTGCTGTTGAAAAAAGCTGCTCTTTTCCTTCAGAGAAGAGTCAGCAAACTGCTTCTGCTAAGAGATAGCCAGTAAATATTTTGGGCTCTTCAGGCTATGTGGTCTCTATTGAAATTACTCAGCCTTCCCACATTAGAAGCAAGCAGCCATAGACAGTATGTGAATGAATAGGCATTCAATAAAACTTTATTTACAAAGATAAGTAGCCAGGCCAGATGCAGCCAGTTGGCTTTAGCTTGCCAACTCTGAAGCAGATTTACAGGGAGACAAGCTCACTAAGGTTTTGGTACCTTGTCAGCATCACAAGAACTTGCAATGATCTAATGGTTTTTATTGAGATATGCCTGCTTTTAAAAATCTGGAACATGAAGAACCCTAAAATGAACACTATCGTGTCCTTAATCTCTAAGGTTCTAGTTAAGAATATTTCCTGATTTTTTTTTTTTTTTTTTTTTTTGCGGTGGAGGTGCCAGGGATTGAACTCAGGGGCACTTGACCACTGAGCCACATTCCCAGCCCTATTTTGTATTTTATTTAGAGACAGGGTCTCACTGAGTTGCTTAGCACCTTGCTTTTGCTGAGGCTGTCTTTGAACTGACGATCCTCCTGCCTCAGCCTCCTGAACCGCTGGGACAGGTGTGCACCACCGTGCCCAGCAAGAATATTTCCTGATTTTATAGGTCTGACCATTCCTGTTACTTTTGGCCCATGAGCTCATGTTTTCCTCTCTCTCTTTCTTTTAACCACTTCTAGAACACCTTCCTTTCCTTCTTCTTAGTTCTTTACTTTCCTTCATTGAGTTAGGAGATGCCCCTTTCTCCTTCCTTCTTTTCCTTCTGTCTTTTACCATTTGCTATGCACAACCCAGTATGAGGTACTGGGGATGGAGAGTAAACAAAAGAAACAAAAAATGTCCTCAAAGAACTGGCAAGTTAATTGGCAAACCTAAGGAAAATATCCCAGGACTCACCTGAGAAAATGAGCAGATTCCTAGATCACCTAAAACAAATGGGATATGAATTTCCCTTCCCTTCTCCTGATTCCCACTAGACAAGGCTAGCTTTCAGAGCTTCGGTCCCAGCAGCCCTCTCCATGCCCTGTCCTTAGCAGATGCAGTGGGTGCCCTCAGGGATAGCCGGGGAAATATTGCCCCTTCCTCCCCTGTGCCAGCCTTCCTGCCCAGCTGCGCCCCTCTTCTCTTGCCCTCACTGGACCTCCAGCTGGTCCCTCCCACCACCCTGTTCTGCAGCCTGTTGTTACCCCTCACAGGACCACCTTCAGCAGTGCTTGCTTCAAGCTGTGCAGTGTTCTAACAAGAACTGTCGGGAAGCAGTCCTCCGGAAAGACCTGAAGGAGCATTTGAGCGCATACTGTCAGTTTCGAGAGGAAAAATGCCTTTATTGCAAAAAAGATGTGGTAGTGATCAACCTACAGGTAAGAAGCACAGTTGTCTCTGTGGGGCTGTGTTCCGAGTGGTTGCAGTGAGGCGGGTGGGATACCAGAAGCACGTTTCTGCATTTATTTATGTACAGAATCAGGTCTATAGAGTGAGATTATCTGAGTTCGAAAGACTCTTGCTGGCAGGACTCTGTTCACTGATCATTGGCAAAAATAGCACTTGAACACCTGCTGTGTGTGAGTGTGGTTGGAGTGGCATGAGGCCTGGATCACAGGGAAGTGACGCTAATGGCTACACTCCAGATTGTGTAATCTAGCTGCAGAGGCTGGATGTAGGCAGGCAAAAGAGACCATGGGTACCTTTCACATGTGCCAGAGCAGCCACACTGGTAATTCCCCAGGCTGCCTTCTTTGAACCCCATGCCCTCTAACCTTCTTTTGGAATAATCAACAAATTAAATTTTAAATTGAATTCATTTACACTCAGAAAGCAAACTTTTTTGGAACTAGGCCATAACTTCCTGTGGAGAGCAAGACACATGAAATATATCCCCAAAGAGACAAGCCTACAATCACTATGAGGCCACAAAAGAGACTTTCTCTGTTTTTCATTACTTTCTCTCTTTCAGAATCATGAAGAAAACTTGTGTCCTGAGTACCCAGTATCTTGTCCCAACAAGTGTTTGCAGATTATTCCAAGAACTAAGGTGACTAAATAGTCCTCTCTGTAGATTCTATATAAGATAAGTTTTAAGCAATCATTGTGGTGTTTGATAAAATTCCATAGGCAAAGGCCCATGGTAAATGTGTGTCTAGCTTCCCTTGTCTTTGCTCTAACAACTCTTAGATTTCATCCTAGTTTTTACCAGCTTCTCTCCTTCTCCCGGTCCCTCCATTCCTCCCAAGCCACCCCTGACTCCCTGCTTGCTGCAGGTATACCAGACAGTTGAATAATCAGAGGCGAGTCTCTGTAGCCGAAGGTTGTCTGTTTTGCAGGTGAATGAACATCTGGCTGTGTGTCCTGAAGCCGAACAAGACTGTCCTTTTAAGCACTATGGCTGTACAGTAAAGGTATGGGATGTCTTTTTTAAAAAATATCTTTTAGTTGTTGATGGACCCTTATTTAATTTCCTTAAATGTGGTGCTGAGAATCAAACCCAGCACTTTACACATGCGAGGCAAGCACAGTACCACTACTGAGCTGCAACCCCAGCCCCAGGAGATGACTTTTTGTTTCTTCCTTGCATTCTATTCTGTAAACTCACTTGGTGAGTCCATTATACTCATTGATTTCATTCAGGATGAATAAGGACATAGAATTTTGAGAACTTCGAGATTAGGGTTCTCCAGAGAAGCAGAACTTAATACACACACACACACACACACACACACACACACACACACGGTGGAATTTGTTTTAAGGAATTGGCTCCTGCAGTTGTTGGGGTTAGGCAAGCCAGGGATCTGGAAACTCTCACTGGAATTTCTGTGTTGTGGTCTTTAGGAGCAGCGCTTCTTCTTCAGAAAACTTAATTCTTTTCTGGGTAAGGCCTTCAACTGATTGGATGGAACCCACCCACACTGCACATGGATAATACTCACTTAAGGTCCACCAACTGTGTTAATCACAACTAGTTGTCTGGTCAAAACTCATCTAGGTGTTGCTATGAAGGTAGCTACAAAATACCTTCACAGCAACACCTAGATGAGTTTTGACCAAACAACTAGGTACCATAGCTCAGTCAGGTTGACACATAATATTAACCATCATAGTAATAATTTCTAATTCTGGCTCTACTTTCTTTAATCACCTTTCGGAATCTTCCAGAGTCCCATTGTTACAAATCTTGGTCCTATGGTACTCTATATATCACCAATTATTTTGAAGAAAAGTGACTTAAAATCATGTTTAAAACTTATTTTGTAGCTTTTTTATTGCTTTGAAAATTTATTTATTTTGTTGCTTTTTTAAATGCATCCAAAATAATTCTTCAATAAATTATGTATCATAAATTAAAAATAAAAGAAAATGGAGTCTGATCTCTACTTCAACTCTTTTAACAGATTTCAGATGGATCAAAGTTGTAGATATTTAAATATATCTTGCTTTGAATTATCATTCTAGGTTTTCTGAAAATCTAACTCCAAAATAAAGTTTATTTAATAAATTCTAAAAATACTAGAAAAAAGATGAGTGAATTTTTCCTCTTTTTTTTTTTTTTTGGAGGGGGAGGTACTGGGGATTGAACCCAGGAGTGCTCTATATCTGAGCCATATTCCAAGCCCTTTTTACTTTTTAGTTTGAGACAGAGTCTCACTAAGTGGCTGAGACTGGGATTACAGGTGTGTGCCATTGCACCAGGCTGGATTTTTTTCATTCCCTAAAATAAAGAAGCCCTTTCTTAGATGACTAAGTACAACACCAGAAATCATCTTTTTGGGGCGGGGTGGGATCACTTAACCACTGAGCCACATCCTCAGTTTTTTTTTTAAATATTTTATTTAGAGACAGGGTCTTACATAGTTTTTTAGCATCTTGCTAAATTGCTGAGGCTGGCTTTGAACTCAAGATCCTCCTGCCTCAGCCTCTAGAATCGCTGAGATTATAGGTGTGTACCACCAACCCTGGCCCAGAAGTCGTCATTTTGATAAATTTAATCACAAATATTTAAAACTTCTGTTGGATTTTTAAAATACTATAAATAATAAAGTCAAATGGCAAACCACAAATTTGGGGAGGGGGCAGAATCTCCAACATGACCAGACCCCCCCCAAAAATGGGAATTGTTTCTTTATTATACAAAGAATTATTACATTTGAATAAATTATTCAACTTAATAGAAAAGTAGGCAAAGGAAAAAATAGGCAGTTTCAGAAAAAATCCAGTTGCCTGATAGATGTAAGAAGAGGTGCTCAATTTCACTCTTACATAAATATAACAGGAAATATAATTTCACCGTCAAATTGACAAAGACTAAAAAAAAGTATAGTATGTAGTTGTTTTCAAGGGTAGTTTGATTATATCTATGAAAATTAAAAATGAACCCAGGGCTGAGCATATAGCTCAATTGGTAGAGTGCTTGCCTGACATGTCCAAGGCCCTGGGTTCAATAATCCCAAGCATCATACACAAACACACACACCAAAAAAAAAAAAAGAACCTATATATTAACCCTGTAATTCTGCTACTAAGAATTTGTTATAGAAATCCTTTAATAAGTGTACAGTGATCACACACATAAACAAACACACGCACACACAACAGTGCATATTTTAGCATTGTTTGTATAGCAACCCCCCCAACACAACAACCTTTGAGTCTATCATTAAAGGACCAACTATATAATTATATATTAATATTTTAGAATACTATGCATCTCATAAACAGAATGAGATAAATAGAAAAAAAGAAATAGCATCTCATTTTTGCTATATATAGGATAAAGAAATGGCTCTCATTTATGTTAAAAAGTATATGTGCTTTTACTGACTCTGGTGAGATAGATTAGAGAATTGGGTATGAAGATGGAGAGAAGGAGCCTTTTACTTTTTAATCTACATCTTGCTATATTGTTTGACATAAACACAGATTTTTTTTAATTTTTAAAAACGGAGGTGTGGGTGTAGCTTAGCAGGAAAGTGTGTGATTAGCATGTGAGAAGCCCTGAGGTCAATCCCCAGCAAAAAGAAAGGAAGAAAATGGTTTGAAGAAATGTATATTATTAAAGTTTTTTTAAATTATAAATGTTTGCCTAGAATATGTGGAACGCTTAACCTTTGTTTTTACTAGTAATGGATTATAGGTGTGTACCACCAACAAATTAATATTTTAATGATTGGGGGAGAAATAACCATTTCTTCTTGCAAATGTATTTTATGGTTTTGAAGGCAAGGAAGAAAATCAGCACTGAGAATTTTGATAGTTGCCTCACTGATTCTCTGTGTAAGTAAGTTTAAGATTGCCTCATGGGTACTATAGAACCCTAAAGGCTGGAACGAGACTTGGTGGAGTCAGTTTTCCAGCAACACACCTAGGGAGGGTTGCATATTTAAACTCTTATAGCAAGCAAAGTTGCTAAGCTACTGCATTAGCAAAATATTCCACTGCTTTTCTTATTTTTGGAGCCTCTCAGTCACTGGACTTCTTTTTCTTTCCATATTGAAGGATAAGCGGGGGAACCTGCAGGAGCATGAACATTTAGCCTTGCGGGAACACATGCTTCTGGTTTTAGAAAAGAACTTTCAATTAGAAGAACAGGTAAGTCTTCAAGAATTCACGGATAAAGGGAAGCCAATTGCTGGGGTTTGCCTGTTTTATGTTGCTATTTTTACATTCTTCTCTGTTCAGTGTAAGCTGATTGGAGATAGATGTTTTTCTACCAGTGGCCAGACAGGCTCATAGGATTATAGAACCTTAGGACTGGAAGGTACTTTTGAGATCTTAACCCCCTTATTTAAGAGATGAAGTAACCAAGCTCAAAGAAATGTTGATATGTTTGTAACTGATAGGTGGCAGAATTCAATCTCAAGTCCATCTCCTCTGACTTTAAATCCAGTGTGCTTCATGGTGTACTGTACGGCCTCACCATAGCCTGTCCACACACTTTTCAGTTCTTACCTGGCATGCAGTAGGTGTTTGATGTTTTAAAACTAAATCAATATTATTATAAAATAGCAGTTGACTATCTGTTCTAGGCACTATGGGAACTATAAATTTTGTAGTAAGTCTAAACTTCCTTTGAGAATCTTTGCAAACTGATAAATGCATATTTATTTCATATGTACATACTAATTTAACTGAGTTGTGATTATCAGTTGAAATTATATGTGTGAACACTTACTGTTAGCCTGGAGCATTCATAGTAGACCTCAATAAATTCTGATTGTAATAAGTGATTATTATGAGTTATTTCATTGTAACATCTCAGACTTTTCAAGCCCACATTGGGAAAAAGACCATCCACTGTCAGAGAAGGAGTTGGATTTTACTACTGAAATAACTTTCTGATGTCTGATTCCATGTTAAAGTGGATATGTGAGTTCCAAAGTCAACTCTGGGGTAAAATGTAGAAAGACTGATTAAATGTTAACTTTGGTAAGAGGCATGTTGCCTAGTATCTGTCTGTAAGCTGTTGCTATATCAGTTGCCTCATTCATCCATCCATTCGTTCAACAAACATCTACCATAAATCATGTACAGTGTTCACTTGTAGGAACACTGAGTAAGGAAGACATAGCCTCCACCATGAAGGACTCAGAGACATTATGCCTTATGGGACATGTGATGACTCCATCTGGGGTTCAGAGGTGGCAGGAGAAAATTACAAAAGTTGGGAAGGGTTTTTCAATATCAGATATCCAGTTGCATCTTGAAGGAAGAAAAGATTTGTTAGTTAAGATTGAGGAAGGAGGACACACAGAAGGAGAGAACTTGTGCCAAGGCAAGGAGGCATAGGAAATGCCGCTGGTTTAAGGAAGTGGGATTTTGGTAAAAGGGCTCCTGAGTGTGAGACAGGGAACAGCTGGAGACAGATGTGTTGGATCCAGATGGTGATGGCCTTCCACATAAACTAAGAAGTGTTGAGCACTCACTGTGCGTTCAAGTCCTGTTTTATTCATGTACACTCTGCCTTTTTTCAAAAAGGATTTAAAGGTAAAAAGTTTGAACTAATGTTTTTCAGGGAGTTAACGGAGGCTTTTAAATAGGAAAATACTTGGCCATCTAATTATTTGGCTTTTAAAAGTAAGACAGCTGATAATAGAATGGCAGTTGGTTAAGAGTGAGGGCCCTAGAGCCAGAAGACTGCTACGAGTGCAGACAAGCTACTTTACCTCTCTTCCCTTGTCTCCTAATTTGTAAATGAGATTCTGGTGAGAGGAAAATGACATACTCTATTTAAGCTCTAAGTACAGTGCCTGGTACATAATAAGCATTAAGTGGAGGCAAGATGCTAGAGGTGGTGGTAGTGAAGGCTCATGTCAATGGGATGGCGAGGGAGCATGGAGAGACATTCTGAGGTAGAAAGGGATTGCTGTAAGCTTGGAAGGTGGGGAACATAGGAATTATTATTAATAATTATTACTGAGATGGACTCCACAAGAACAAGAGCAGGTTAGAAGTGATGGCAGGGAGAAGGGATGCTGACTTTGCTTTGGTTCTAAGTAGAAATCTGCCCCAGTGGTCTACAAAGAAGATTCTGAGGCCCAAGGTCAAGAGCTTGTTATGATAGTTTAAGCATGCATTCATCAGACACACATGCAGTGCCTTCTGTATGCCAGGACTGTGCTAGGCCCTGGTGATAAATAAATGAGATCTAGCCTCAAGAAACAGTTTAGTGGAGTAAAAGGAACAAAACAACAACAAAAGCAAGTTTTAAGAGTGGTAAGGATAAGTTATACACAGGAATGTAGATAGGGTGATCTGAGTAGATAGTATTGGTCAGGAAATATTTCTGAGAAGATGTACCCTTGAATGGCAGCTTAAAAAGCAGTAGTTTTAGATGAAGATGGAAGTGTTTGAGTGAGCAGGGCCTGATGGGAACTAGGAGTTGTGTAATCTTGATGGTCAGGTTGAACTTGGGTTCTGAATGGGCGTGAGCCCAAAAGCATAGCCAGGGGCAGATCAAGTAGGGGGCCCAGTGTAACCTGTAAAAGAAGAACACACATTTAAGTGGGGAAGGCATGAGATCAGATTTGTCTCTTAATATTATTCTGGTCACAGTATGGAGCATGAATTGACTAAAGACAAGGAGAGCATTCATGCATTCATTTATTAAACAAATATTTATCAAGCACCTACACCCATTCAATCGCTGGAGTTACAGTGGACTGTGAAATCTTCATCAATCCAGTTCCCACAGAACTTCCTGGTATATATCGGGGTAGAAGGTGTAATGTAGGCCCAGTTAGGAAGCTGTTTGTCACAGCTCAGGTGAGAAATAATGAAGGTTGAAATGAGAGGAAGTGAGAAATGTTTTTAAGAGCTTTTTTGTTTGTAGTCTTGTGTTTTAGGAGTTAAAAGTTGGCAAACATTCCAGATTGAATGGATGTGAGGATAAGAGAAGGATTGTCAAGGATTGCTCTTAAGTTTCTGGTTGTTTCCCCCAAATAGATTACAAATTCTAAGTAAACAGACTACTCATTTGTTTTGCCTACTACTTCCTAGTTCATATGCTGGGCGGGTTACTTAAACCCTCTTCTGTTTTATCTTCCTAAAGTGGAACAAATATTTGCACCTTAACTTATAGGGTTCTTTGAAGATTAAAAGAGCTAATAAATATAAGGGTATGATAGAAATTGGGAAGAAAATGCTTTAAACATTACTGATATAGCAAAAATTACTTTAAAACCATGTACATATAATATATAATATAAATTACATATACATTAAACATTACGTACATAATATATAACTTATTTATATAATATATAATGTATATTACATATATTACATATATGTTATTATTACATTTATGTTATATATTATATACATAATATATAATGTGGTATGGTGATCAGTACTCTGGTTGTTTAATAAGTGTGTACTTAAATGGGTGAAGTGAACAAGTTCTGTAAATTCAGCTAAGTGATGTCATTTTATTAGCTGAACCATCATAATAGGTTAAGTATAGAACAAGCTGATGAGAAATTCTGTGGGTCGGATTTTTAGAAACCACCTGCAAATGTTTTCCTAGAATTTATGTATATTTTTCCTAGAAACACATTCTTAACTGCAAGGACTGTTTTAACCGGAATGTATACATTTTAATGACCTCATTTTTTCTCATTCACATCCCTGTTACTAGATTTCTGACTTATATAAGAGCCTAGAACAAAAAGAAAGTAAAATCCAGAAGCTAGCAGAAACTGTAAAGGCATTTGAAAAGGAATTCAAGCAGTTTTCACAGTTATTTGGCAAAAATGGAAGCTTTCTCTCAAATATCCAGGTGAGAAATGGCCTTTTTACTCAATGCAAATATCTGGCTTTTTCTTTAAGTTTCTAAAGTGGAAATAATTTTAAATATATAGATAAACGATAAGAATAAGATGGTGCAAATAACATGTCCTCTGCCCAGATTCATCCATTGTCAATGTTTTGTCCCATTTGCTTAATTTGCACCTTTCCCCCTCCAGCAAGTGTGTGTGTGCACACACGTGTGTGAGTTTGTTCTTTCTGAACCATTTGAGAATGCACAACAAATATTACAAACTTTTACCTCTATGTGCTTCAGTATTTATTTCCTAATAAAGATCATCTCTTTCATAAGCCCACCACATGTAGCAATGTCAATAAATTTAATATTTATATAATACTTTCATATAACTTAGGGAATTAGGGTTTTAATTAATGTTGGGTGAGTGTTATTTTATTTCAGATTCTTCGAGAGCATCTGTAGTTCTGCATTTTGTAGGGAACAAAGTGAAACTATATTCCCTTGGAGAGAAAATGCTTTAAGCATTATTAAAATATAGAAAAAATTACTTTGTAAATCATGAATGTTAAATAATCACACATGGATTCCTAATGAATAATGTCTTCATCATGATTAAAAATTCAGACTGAAAGATTTCAAGACATATAGAATGATTAGTATATTTGAAATCTAGTTTATCCCAGAAAACCTAGAAATCTAGGCCATATAATTTTCATACTTACTCATCATATTTAATTTGTGTGTGTATAATATGTGTGTATATTTACATATACATATATGCATGTTTATGTGTGTATAAAAAAAGTTATATGTTAAAAAAGTAATCCATTATATGTTACTTTCTCAATTCTGGTATTGGTTTAATACAAAGACCAACCAGTTAGAATGAAGGCACTTAGGACAAGGTAGTTTTATTTAATCTCTTTCACCTAAGAGAACAATCAAACATTTAGGTCTCTTCAGGCTTTCAGTTCCACTTGCAGTGCTCAGGCCGGAATAGGTGGGTCTGTTTGCAGGCACACTCTGCCTTATAGCAGAGCAGGAGTGAATCTAGAAAGCAGCATCTAAGAGAAGGAAGTGATAAGGCAAGAGGAGAGACAACCAGAGAAAGACATATAAAGATGGGTTAGAGAAACAAGCACAGAAAAACTGGAGGAGGAGTAAAAAATAAGAAGAAAGGTTCAAAGATTTGGAACAGGAGTTGGGATAAGAGAAGAGGAGGAAGGTAATTAGGAGCTTGTCTCTCTGAAGTCCTCATTGATTTTTCTGAATTTGTGTATTTTTCATTTCATTAATTGATTAAGTGAGAAATGTTTTGAGTTGAAAATTTTTAATCTCAACACATCACTAAAATATTGACTTAAAAGTTATTTTAACATTATGATCCATTTTCTGCTGAAAGGTTCTTGCCAGTCACATGGACAAGTCTGCTTGGCTAGAAGCTCAAGTGCGTCAGTTATTACAAATGGTTAACCAGCAACAAAATAAATTTGACCTAAGGCCTTTGATGGAAGCGATTGATACGATGAAACAGAAAATTACCCTATTAGAAACCAATGATCAAAGATTAGGTATGTCTAATATTTTACTTCTCTTTTGGTGATTCATTTATTGGCATGTATGCATGACACAAGCAAACATCTTGTAGAATAATCACATCTCTCCAGGATAAACAATGGCTGAATTTATTATTTGTAAAAAAGGAGTGTGAGATTCTGGCTGCTCAAGCAAAAATGAGGGAGGCTTGAATGGGGAGTGGAAACAGCAAGGGGTAGAAATGGGCCAGGAAATTCCAAGAACAGGGAGTGGTGATTTTTAAGGAGAGTGGAAAATTAGAAAGTTAAAGGAGAGTGTGATAAGATGATTTTTAGATGTCAAAAAACCAGAAGAGTTTAGCTATTTAAAAGAGTTCTGATTAGAAGAGTATGGGACTCACCATGTCAATTCATGCTATGCAAATGCAGTGTCTGATCTACACTTTGGCAAGCCTCTAAAAGAGTACACATTCCTAGCAAGGCGTTCATGCCTGAAATCCCAGTGACTCAGGAGGATCATGAGTTCAAAGCCAACCTCAGCAAAAGGTCCTAAGCAGGCCCTTAGCCAGGCCCTAAGCAACTTTGCAAGACACTGTCTTAAAATAAAAAAAAAAAATTGGGGCTGGGGATGTAGCTCAAGCGGTAGCACGCTCACCTGGCAGGCTTGCGGCCCGGGTTCAATCCTCAGCACCATGTACAAACAAAGATGTTGAGACCGCCAATAACTGAAAAATAAATGTTAAAGTTCTCTCTCTCTCTCCGCCTCTCTCTCTTTGAAAAAAAATAAAAAATTAAAAAAAATTAAAAAGGACTGGATATGGCTCAGTGATTAAGCCAAGCACTCATGGGCTCAGTCCCCAGTTTAAACACACACACACATGCACACACACATTTCTTTGTGTATGTGTGTTTTACGTGTGTGTTTTGTTTTGTTTGCAAAGACTTAATGTTCACTGAGCTAATATTATTAATAATATTAATAAGTGGTTCATTTATGGGCATTGAATTCAGTCCATCGTTAGGAGTCAGAATTTTATTGTTTCTCTTCAGGTAATACAATTCCACTTTGGGCAAATTTTAAAGAAACTTCTCAGGCGATGAAACCTTTTGTTTGTTTCCTTTGCAGTTGTTTTAGAAGGGGAGACTAACAAACATGATGCACACATTAATATTCATAAAGCACAGTTGAATAAAAATGAAGAGCGATTTAAACTGCTGGAGGGTGCCTGCTATAATGGAAAGCTCATTTGGAAGGTGACGGACTACAAGATGAAGAAGAAGGAGGCAGTGGATGGGCACATAGTGTCCATCTTCAGTCAACCCTTCTACACCAGCCGCTGTGGCTATCGGCTCTGTGCCAGAGCATACCTGAATGGGGATGGGTCTGGCAAGGGAACCCACCTGTCCCTGTACTTTGTGGTGATGCGAGGAGAGTTTGACTCACTCTTGCAGTGGCCATTTAAGCAGAGGGTAACTCTGATGCTTCTGGACCAAAGTGGCAAAAAGAACCACATAATGGAGACCTTCAAAGCTGACCCCAATAGCAGCAGCTTTAAAAGACCTGATGGGGAGATGAACATTGCATCTGGCTGTCCCCGCTTTGTGGCTCATTCCACTTTGGAGAATGCAAAGAACACCTACATTAAAGATGACACCCTGTTCTTGAAAGTGGCTGTGGATTTAACTGATCTGGAGGATCTCTAGTTCACTGTTCCTGGGGTGATAGGAAAACTTCTTGGGTTCTAAAGCATGGTTCACTTGATTATCATATTGAGCTGGACTTCACTCAATGTATTTGGCTTTTTGCCTTTAATGTTTAAAGTTGGTTGAAAACGTCTAAATGCTGTCTTTTTGCATTCTACTCTGGTGAAGTTTGTAATTTAAAAATCTTAGAATGTCCTATTTATATTTTTATATCTCACGAAAGATGGTAAGTTTCTTGAAAACCAGGTCTGGGGCTTATCTCTTTTGCTGGTGCTTAGTGAGGTGTATCAGACATTCTACAGTATTCAATGTTGTTGAGGACACAGAAGTATTAGAATTCCCAACTGAAAAATGTTTTTGTATTTATTGTTTGGACTGTTGATTCTATCTCTGACCTTAAGACTGGAAAAGCCCTCTTTTCAAAGGTAGGCTGTTCCAGTTAAGTAGTGCATGACATAATTAGAAGTCAATATAATAGGCCCAGTTTGGACCCAATTTTTTCATTTAAATACTAAATTTTGGGAAATTACTGCACTCTTAAATGTTTTCATGAAATTCACCAAAAGTCTGCATAAGAACTGGTAAATGGCATAAACATTTTCATTCTTCTTCTTGAAGTAAACCAGAAAGCATTACATATTGTGTGTGTATGTGTGTGTGCACACGCACATGAATGTATAGAGAGCTAGCCAGCTAAAGTGAAGATTTTATTAGGGTCCCTAATGTCACAAATGTGTAAAAGGAATTTAAAACCTAAGGAGAAAACCATTAAAATTTCCAGTGGCAGAAGTACTCCCAATCCAAAACTGATTGCTGAAAATAGTATCTCCTTTTTCTTTTTGGAGACCTTTTGAATTTATAAATTGGTATGAAAATGGGCATTTAGTCAGCTTGTGAAGTTTCTTTTAGAGTCCTGAGTACTTTGCAAAGAATAGAAATGATCTTATACTTTTATCTGTATAGACCTAAGGGTGTATATATAAATCAAGATGAGTCCTTATTACTTTTGATAAGCATGACTTTAACAAAAACTGAAATACTGTTTTCCTGATTAGAAATAAATTATTACGCCATTACCATTGCTCATATGTGGGCTGGCTCTCCTGAGCATGTAAGGACAAGTTACAATGACCCAGTGGTCACTGAAGAACAGCTCACTTGGGTGATGGCCATGCATCTTACACTTTCTAAAGAAGAAACATGATTAGGCTTATGGGAATTACGGGAATCTTACTCTCTTCTATGGTACTTCCAATATACTAAAGACTCCTATTGCAGGAATCACTCCAAAGGATTAAATTCAATGAAAAAGGTGCACAATGGAAAGAACTGTAGTGAACGAACTCTAATATAGTTAAAGGTCTACACATCACCTCAGACAAACTCAGGATGCATTCTGTAGCCCACAATGCCAGACCCAGAGGTTTCTGCGTGTTTGTTCTGTTTTTAATCATGTCCAAGGCCACTCTCTGTGTCTCCGTTGAGTAACAGGTCATTTTGTTGTAATTAGTTTTAAGCAGCTGATGTCGAAAACATTTAAAAGTGAATTTGTCAAAGTATTACCTATCTTATGCACATAAAATGTCTTCTATGCATATAAAATATGTCATGGTATGGTTTGCTTAGCAGTTCAGAGTCCCTTAATCACTGAAATAGTGATTAAGTGATCAAAGATTAAGGAATAAAAAATATACCTTTTTCAGAAGAGCTGTGATTTTTTTAAAAGTGAATTCTTGTAATCTATTTTTCCTCTCTTATGGTCTGAACTGTTTTTATTCTGTATAAACAAGACTTAAATTTTCATTTTTGTCTACTGTCAGTTTTTGATGAAGAAAAAAAATACTCTAGACATAATACTGGAGTTAACATCCTTGAAAAAGGTTTATAAGGATCACAGTAGGATGGGAGATGAGGGAACATATTAATACATATTGACTAGTCTGAATTCTGACCAAATTTGACATTTTTAGAGAAATAAGAGATTGTCGCAGCTGGATTCAATATAAGTGCCAGTCCTAAATATAAGTAAATAAGACAGCAAAATACAAACCTTTCATGGGGTCCCTGGACATCAATCCACACCACTGACTACCCTGTCTCTCTTAGAAAGTGGTTGGAGACATGTGTCTCAATCATATAAGAATTCTGAGCTGGAGATAAAGATTTGATGGATGCACAGGAGGGGACCTTGGGAAAAACACATTTTATGGGAGGAAGAAGAGAAGCCTGCAGAGCATCTGGAGAAGGAATTGCCAGAGGTAAGAGAAGTATGGAGGGAGGTGTGAAGGGAAAGATGTAGACCCTGGAAGGCAGTTGCTCCCAGCCCCCTAAAGTTGGCTTGTGAACTTGTCACCCACACTCTTCCCTCCTTGCTCTGTATCTGCCTCTGGCCTTTGTCTTTGCTTTAGAAGGGCTGAACAAGGAGTCAGGTACTTTAGAGTCTACTTCTCCATAACTGAACTAGAAATTTTCCCTCTCCCCCTACCACAGATAACCTGTTACTTCTCCTGTGTCTTCTGCGTCAGGTAATGACATCATTCAAGCTAGGGTTTATACACTCTAGATTCTTCCCTCACCTTCCCCATCCAGTCACCCCAAATGGTCTTCAAATATTTCCTTTAAATGATTCCTACTATTTACCTTTACTGCATATTGCCACACTATTTTAGGCCTGCATTATTTTTTAAACTGTTTTCCATATTTGGGGGAATTTTGCCTCTCTCGAATCCAACCTTCTTGATGTCACCTGGTGATTGATTTCTCTAAAATGGAGATCCACTCTCCACCCCACCTTCACTGTGGTGCCACCACACATAGGAAAAAGCCCTATGGTACACACAAGGCTCTTCCTGCCCATCTCTTCTCCCCCAGCCTTACTTCCTGACATTTCTCCTACTTTGCATTTAACAATACCACATCAATCTATGTGACATTTAACTGAGCTTATGCTACAGGACTACCTGGCATACATTTCTCTAACCTCACCTCCTTCTTTGCCTGATGAATTCTTGCCCTTTAAGATTCTGTTTGGGCTTCACCTCCTTTGCAATGTTTTCCCACACTGTCCCTTATTCTGCACACCCCCACTCCTATCCCTTCACCCTTCCCTAGCTCTAGATTTTTTGCTCTGTGTTCCATACTTCCATATATATATATATATATATATATATATATATATATACATACACATATACATACATACATACACACCCCAATTGATGAACTTTTCTTTTTTCTTTTTTTTTTTAAACCCCAGCACTGAGAACAAACTCAGGTCCTTGTGTGCTGGGTAAGTGCTCTGACATTGAGCTAAATCCCTAACCCCGGTACTTCTCTTTTTTCCAGAAAACAAATGTTAATTACATATTTGCCATATTCTGTGTTAGTTACATTATCCCTGTCCTTCTCAAATTTATAATGTGGGGCTGGTGTCAGAGCTCAGTGGGTAGAGCACTGGCCTAGCATGTGTGAGAGACTGGGTTTGATTCTCAGCACTGCAAATAAATAAATAAATAAATATCCATCAACAACTAAAAAAATATTTTAAGAAAATTTATAATGTGGCCTAATGTGCGTAACAGTAGCCTCATGTTTGATAGATTTTTGCCTCTCAACTCCTTTCCCATTTGCCCTAAGAAAATCTCTCTCAGACCAGTTCTGGATGTTTGTGATGCAAAATAACAAGAATAGGCAGAAAGACATTTGAAGGAATCCAGGGGCAAGATTTATGTAGAAGAGCTAAAGAGGATCCACCTAAGGATTGGGGAGAATTAAAGAAGAAAGAAAAGGAAATATAAAACTATGGGAGCTGCTGGGAATTGCGACTCCGAGCCTCTGATGCTTTTTCTTCCAAGAGGCCCATGTTAAAGATTAAAATACATTTACAAATTATTTTTGGCTGTTTAAAATATACATATTTGAAACTTCAGATGAAGACTAGACTCTGTGGCTCCAGAGTTTATAAAGCATTTGACAAGTAAGTATTTAACAATATAAGTTGTGATAAGTGCTTTAAAGAAAATGAGAGTACAGTGAAAGAATAAGGCAGGATAGAATTCAGTTTGTCAGGGAAGGCCTTTTTTTTTTTTATGCTGCAGTAACATGATATTTAGTGTTCATGTAACATGTTTTCTGAAAGCCCAACACTTGCAAACACTCATGTCTGAGGAATTTCCTGTAAGAAAACTTGCCTTCTTGATCCCTTTTGTAACAGACATGTGACCTGGGTTCCACCAAGAATCATAGCCATGCAAAACTTCAACTTGAAAGTGAGCAAGAGGAAGGAAACATGCCAAATTCCCACTACCCAGTGGCAACCAACAGAGTCTGTGGAAGTTGCAGTCATATATGGTGGCTGCAACAATAGATTTCCACTGCATCCTCTAGTGGTTTGGGTATGGCCCCTGGGCCCTCTGTAGATTCTGTGAGCTACATAATAATGTTCGTAAAAGTCTCTTTCTTTCTCAACCAGAAGGGATTCTGTTGTTTGTAACTAAGAACCTGAGTAAATCAAGCAAATCTGAAAGAGAGCCAGGCATGGGAAAAGCAGATGGAATGGATCAATTCTGGGCAGGAAGAGTTGGCTCAGGGATCTGAGAAGAGGCCAGTCTAATGGGAGTCACACAGAGGGAGGGGAGTGGCACTTGATGAGATTAGGGAGGCAGGATTCAGAATCTGCCTGTGGTGCTGAGGTCACGGTGAGAAGTTTATGGTTTATGTAAAGTATAATGAAAGTTAACATGTTTTGGCATGAGAATACATGATCTGATTAATGCTAAAAATGTACTCTATATGGAGCACAGATTGGGGGGACAAGACGAGAGGACACAGTATTAAAGTTACATCATAATGAAATTACACTTATTAGATCATAAAGTTCTTGAACCTAAAACCATGTCTAATTTGAGTACATAGCAGATTCTCAAACTGCATTAAAATGAAGGTATATAATCACTGAATATCACAATTCTGCTAAGCAGGTATTATTACTGTTTTTATACATGAGGAAATAAACCACAGAGAGGTTATCTGATAAGCCCTAGGTTACACAGCTAATGAGCAGTAGAACCAGGACCGGCATCCAGGCAGTTTAGCTTCAAGGACTTCACTTTTAACCACTGTGTATGAGACTGTGTCATGTAAAAATATAAATTTAAATGAGTAAGGAGTGACAAAAAAACTAGAATAAAAATCAAATTAAAACCCTCAAACCATTCAAGGGTGGGGCAGAGTGGAGTGAGAGATGCTAGAAAAAGAAACTATCAAACCAGAGGAGGAAAAAAAGAACAAGAAGCATTATTCATAGAAAAAAACAGCATATGTATGAATGAATTAAACTTCACTATAAAAAGAGCAAAAATCTCAAATGAAGGGAGCGGGACAAGTATCTGATTTTAAAATCATCTACACAAAACAGAGCTAATAACTCCATTAGTAGTTATATATTCAGAGAAATTCTTGCATAGTATACATGTATAAGAAAGTTTACTGACAGCATTGTTTGTAATAGCAAAACAAGGGGGAAAATCATAACTTGCATTGGCATGCATGTGGAACAAAAGCACCTCCTACATTAGAGGCAGAGAAGTAAGCTGGTACAACCACTGGAGAACAATGTGGCATTATCAAAACTGAATTGTGCAAACCCTTCCACCCTGCAATTCTATTTCTATACATATATTCTGAAGAAATTCTTATCACATGCCCAAGAAGTTGGATGCAAAAATGTCCATTTACTCATGTTGTAATGACAAAAATCAGGAATCATCAAATGACTATCAAGAGAATAAGCTGCAGTGTAGTCACAGTGAAATACTACACAGCAGTTCAAGTGAAAAAAAAACTAGAACTACATGAACCAAAATGTAGTTGGTTAAATTTCACACACCATAATTATAGGTGACAAAAGCAAATTATGGAATGATATGTAAGTTTAAAAACAAAACAATACTGTTATTATACAGATATATATATATATATATATATATATATATAGAGAGAGAGAGAGAGAGAGAGAGAGAGAGAGAGAGAGATTTTATAAACTCTGATGGGAAGTGACAGATTCCAAATGCAAGGGAGTTGTTAACTTTGGGAAGAGAGGGAGAATGAGACTGCAGAAGGATTCACAGGGAGCTATAACTGAATATGGAATATTAAAGTATAAAGCAAATATGTGAAAACGTTAAAACATGATAAAGTGAAGTGTTTGGTACAGAGCTGTTCATTGTATTTTCTGTAACTATACATATTTATAATTCATACAAAACATTTAAAAGAAAAGCTATGCTTTCAAGATTCTATTTTTTTAAATAAAAAAATAAGCTCCAAGAAATAAGAATGAAGGAACTAATGAAGCATACATTAGAAAGAGAGGTAAATTTCAAAACAGTTTTGTCAATAAAACTAAAAGCTGGTTCAATAAATCTGATCAATAAAAATGCCAATAAAATAAGAATGCATGAGAATGGGGTTTTTAAAAAGTTGAATACCATTGATAATTTTATTCCTATAAATTTGAAAATTGATTAAAACTCTCAGGAAGCAAAATAAAATGCTATCTATATATTAGTAACCATGGAAATTATGAAACAAAACTCTAAAGAGCATCCACATCCAGCTAGCTTTAAAAATGAATTCAAAACCTAAAGAATAGATCATTCACATGCTAAGTCTATTTGAGGTCACATAAAAGGAAGTTAATCTGAC